TTGCATCTCATTATGTAACTCACTAAATATGCGGCAACCGAACACAAAAATATTGTCAAATATCGTTTAGCATATGTCCCAGTATAAAAATGTAGTACCTAATGATTTTTGGTGGAACATAGATGTAAGGCGGCTATACGATTATTTCAGATATCGGGAACATCATTTATTTTCTAGAAACGTCCTGGATTTCTGGCTTGTATAATGTACAAGGATACTAGGGAAAACGTATATCGGGGAAATGGAATTGAATGTTATATCTTAAAAGTAGGTCGAAGATAAACGCTGTCGATAAGGCCATAAACATAATCTTCATTACGTGTCAGGACAGCCGCACCAAACGTTTTACAATCTAAATGAATCCACTGTAATATTTTTAAGCCTAAAACCGAACCAGACCCTCTTAGAGTGAATTTCATGTGCAAAATATGTTTTCATAGAATAACCATTGGATTACGAATGAGCGGTAATGCCGCTACCAAACTTCTGATAATTTTACACAGAAGACATTAACCTTGGAAAAGAAAAAATAATCCAGGCTTAAGACAACTTTTTATTTACAGATGGTCGCCTTTAACATGATTTACAAGAACATTCTTGGTGCGTGCTACTACCAATCAGGAAACAAGGGCACGAAGGATAGTACAAAATGCATATTGACCCCAACAATTTAGAGTCGTTTCAAATGGCGACAAGTGAAGCAAAATTAAAAAAGTAGTTCAACTAGTCATGTAGAATAATTTCTTTTCAATCACTGAATCTATTTTATGGTTTCAGAAAAATGTTGGCCTAATACGTAAAAACATGAGGACTGCCCCCAGCAGCTTAAACAATTTAAAGTATAGAATCAGATAAAATTAACCGAATCAGTTTTATTCGTTTAAAGAGTTTCTTTATTCTTGTCTTCCTCTCTGTATATTCAGTTTGCTTACATTCCACTCTTTATTTATTGGAAAATTATCACTCTTGTTATCACAAAAATATATTCCTGCGGATTATCTCAGAAACAGGACAGAGGGCACCTAGTGCTGCTCTGTTCTTCGACTTTAAGAAAACTTATTGTAATGTATCATGCAAGTAGCTTCACATCAAACCATAGTCTTTCAGAATCTATAAACCACAACATTATTGGTTTGTTTCATTTCCAAATGAACGCTAACACATAGTAAGAAAAAGCAACGACTCGTTTGCATCACCAAGGTCGATGAAAAGTAGAATTATTCAGGTAATTTTGGTAGGTCCACCAATGTAAATAAACGATACACTGGAAATAGTGGCATCCGGGTCGCCGAGTTCGTAGGTTGATGATCTGAAAATTGCACAGACAGCTTCAGGGCTGATGATCAAAATGAAAATACGGCACATATTCAAGAGAACTTGACAACCCATCTACCTAGAGCATGAAACCTTTTCTTTAATACTGCCTAGTTATGTTGTTAATGACGAAATACTAGGGATTAGATATGAAAGATGTTCAAGGAAGCCTCGTGTCTCGACTTTTAGGATATGACTCAGGCTTCAAACACTTCTTAGAAACTTTATGACATTTCTGATGGTGCTGTAGACTTGTGTCTATACTTTATCACCAGTTATTTGTCGTGACGTAGCGATCACCAGCCTTAGCAACTATCACTCGAATTCCACTAAAATATTTAATTTCATGTTGAAAGCATTACAGCTCTGTGTCGATGATATAAGTATGTTGTAAAATATCAGTCTAAGTGATTGATCGCTTACAGCTAATGTAACAGCATTTGTAACGTGTTGATGTTGCCTGTAAATTAAATTTATTATCACTTTCACTCAAGAACAACTATTCAAGTATTTCAGTGAGTTATTTTTGGGTGGTTTAGAACATCATGTCTTTCCATCACTGCAGTTATTTATTTGCGTATATAGAAAGCTCACGACTCATCACATTTAAATGGTGCGTATAATAACACTGGATGATATCCGTGAATTTATTAGTAATAATAATTTTTTAATAATAACAATGTGCACTGAAACGAACGTGAATTTCTGAGGGTTTCCTATCAAGTCGGAACATTCATTGCAAATATAGCGAAACCATAAATCAGGAATCGCGGTTGAATGTTTTTCCCTTTGTTTCCATATTTGTTGTCAAAACCGATTAAGCAATAACAGTGTACTGGCGATGCAACAACATTTGCTAACTTGGATTTGTTTCGATCTTATTTTACGTGTTTTTAACATTACCATGTCTTCGAAATGCACCTGAATGTCTATCATCGTTGATGAATTTAGTGAATTTTGTTGCATTGCTTTCAACCTTAACCTTTCGGTTTCGGATAGTTTTTTTAACCGGTGTGATAGTAGATATCATTTCTTAACCACCCAAATGAACAATAATAGTGTGAATATATGTGACTTGTAAACGTTCTTCATTACTGAGTACCAGTCATTTTATTGTTCTGTTCATACCTTTCTTTCCTTGTCTCCTCTTGATTTACGGATATTTAGGTAAGTTTTCCGTTTTACCCATCATTAAAAAACATTGCATGCTCTTGGTATTACTCGAGATTTTGTTTCAGGATTTTCGAATTCTTGCAGATCACTTATTATATATACTATTCCTGGATATTCTTTAACGGAAATATTCTAAGTGCTGAAAGCAGTTAGCAGGGCTTGTAGTGAATCTTTTAAGCTCATAAATGTGATCGTGGAAGAACATTTAAAATCTTTTCAAGTTTAAGCGTATGTTGTCTTTTCTTATTTTAGCCATCCACATCATTCGCGTCTTCTTTACAGTATATTCTCGAGATAATGGGACACAAACAGATTATAATCTTTACTGGCTAACAATGATAAGGAAGCTCTACTACACATTTTGACGAACATGCAATAAGTGTTGACTTAGTCGAAACGTGTATTCTTATATAAGTCTTGAAATAAAAGTCTTACAGATTCCAATCGTTTCAAAAGCACCTTTTTCCAGATAATTTATTTACTTATTTTATGCATATATAAAATAAAAATTAAAAATAAAAAGGCTTTTAGAAGGCTTCAAAACCTGAATGCATGCATGGCACTAGATGTCACTGGGTTAACACACATTTCACCGAAGAACTTTGTACAAATATCATCGAATCCCGAACTTATTGACTATTATGGCAAGACTCACGTGGATGTACTTGACCGCCTTCACAGACATAAATCCCTACATTTACATGCATCGACATCCCCACTGAAAATTCATTGTATTAAAAATTAATAGGTAAGGTAACAGCATCACGGAATTGATTAAAAGTATGAATCGTTTTACTCAAGACATAAAATGTGAGTGAAGTTACCGGCGTGAGAAAATGGAATTTTAACAGCATCAAGAACGATATCAGGTCTAAGACTTGTGTCAATTTTCATGCATATCACACGGTTAAATTTGTCCGTTTTTGGACTTTATTTGGTTACTGTCTCATCGTTTTTTATGCCTCTCTTCAAATGACCTCAATCCTGTTGGATCTACGGTGAGACCAGCATGGTCAGGTGTAAATATGACCATCAAGCATCCTGTTCTTTTTCAGATTAAGAATGACTGAACAAACGGAACGAGAGTATGGAATTCGGTCAAACGACAAAGATCATTCACGAAATTTACTTTTCTCATCACATATTAAAACGTATTGAGACATACAAACTCATAATCAACTACCAACTGACTTGAATTAGACATTCGAGTGGCTAGACCCACATTCTTTGGACAATACTAAACACCTGGAGCTGTATCGAAAGAACAAGAATCGAGCGCAAAGAAATCAACTGGCTTATACTGGCTCGTGGAGAAAAAATTGGGTATTGGATAATGAATAGTGTGTAGGATAAGCTTTATAAGGAGCCCTAATTAATCTCTGAAGGTCATGTTTTGGACGTGATGCATTTTGCAGATATACTCCTTACTGAAGTCTCTGTCAATGGACTAGAGGGAGTAACATTAGATCAGCTTTGGGATAATCTTAGAGACAGCAGAGTTGGATTTCCATGGAAAATTGATGATAATTCCAAACAGTTTATTTGGTCTACGCTAATAAAAATGAGAAATATAAAATACTATGTATTACCGTGCTCTATCACTCCGCTTGAAACATTTAGCCGTATAGATTGTCTAGTAGAGACGAAGGATGGCACGTACTACAAAATACCTGTAGGTTTGTATATCTATCTTTTCTTATCAACTAAGGAATCCCTCCCACGTGTTGAGTTTTTTCCAGTGACCAACGATAACCAACTAGGGTCTTCGAAGTTTTACAACAAAAGGAAAGATGTCACTGACCTCATATTCAATGATGTGGCTTTCCGTGCATTAAAAAATGTCGTGGAAAAGTTTGTCTTTTCAGTTTACATTTCATACTCTAGGTGGGGTAACACTTTAGTTCTAGTAGCTTCACAAAAAGAAAGAAACAGATTCCTTTTCGGAAATCCAAATGTTCCTCGTGATTTTTCTGCAGGTTTGTACGTAATGCTAGAGGCGATAGCCAAGTAAGTATTTTCAACTTCTTGGATAAGTAACAGCATATATTTACTTCCTGGGTTCTCGAAACGGTCCAGTATGATTTTACTATATGCTTGCGTTGTATTGACGCTAGTATGTGTACATATATCCCTCCCTACTTATATCATCACATTTACGAAGATATCTGTTATTTATTTTGATCTCATCGTTCATATTGAAGTCGCGGTCCTTGGTATTTTTTTAGTTTATATTAGTGAATCATTTATAATTCCTACTGGTGTTTTTCACGGTGCTAAAGTGACTTTACGCAAAAGCTGTAGTTTGAACAAATAGACACTAGTATTTTCAGCCTTATGACTGTTTTTCAACAAATAGCAGTGATTTAGCAAAACCTAATGGTCTATACGTGTTATACGCATCAGAAAAATTTGGGTAGTTAATTGTTTTTGCAGCCCTATTTCGCGTTCCTAGCTTAAAACTAACTTAGATTCATGTTTTTTGGTTGTGTCGGAAATTGGATTCAAATTACGTACCATCATGTCTGAACTTAAACTATTCCCATTCAAGTGTAAAGTCAAAACAGGAAATCTGATGTCGTGAGTCAGTAAGACAGTCATCAATATCAAATAGAGTTGGATTTTGGTCCAGCTATTCGGCGGTGCTTAAGTAATTATTGGTGGATATTGAGTATTGCGTACAGCTTCATCAAAGTATATTGGGACCTCGAAAGTTATTCTACCCATTAAGAACCAAAAACAACTGGTTTACCCGTTGTTACATGCGTCAACCACCATAGTACTACTCTGAAATGTCGAAGTACTTTTCAATATGCATAAGTACGTATCTTGTTTTCCTTTGTTCAGGTAGCAAGATAATATTAAATTCGAAATGTGTATTTAACCCCAGTTTGTCAGTAGTTCTTAATAGTTTACATCAAACTGTTTCAGGCAAAAGTACAACGGATTACCCACAACAAGTCATGATGGTTTATTATCTTCCGGTCTGACTACTGGGACTATATGGTACATGCGCCAAAAACTCGAGAAAATGGGCGTAATCAAGTCTCAGGTAATATCTTACTGAAACCACTTCAATGTACTTTTTTTAGCCTTATTTAGCGAAAACAGGCAAAAAGCCAGTGATGCCCGGTTTACTACTGCACCATCGCAAATATTATTTACATTTTCCGTTTCCACCTGCAATTTTTATGGAAAAGATATCTCAGTTTTTGCTAAATAAACCTGGGAACAAATGTTTTGGGTTCGAGATTCGCAAGGTTCGTTGGATATTTTTCTTTCTTTTTTCTATTACTTCTTTATCTGGCGGTTGATCCTATAAGGCTGCCTGTTTTAGCTCATGTTCATTGTCACTATGTTACTGTTTACACACTCATCTATTGACTCATGCCCTGTAGTTATAGTACATTCCAGTTAAGGTGTTTTTCGTCTATTATTATTATTATTGTTGTTTTAATGTTAGCAAACTCTGAAACCATTGCCTAGGCTTTCCTGCCACATTGTCTCTCATTAACTGTTTCTATTTTTATTTTCATATTTGATTTGTAGTAAATTTCTCACTGCATAAAGAATTTTCAGTTAATAGAGAGCTAGTCTTTTACTTTCTCTAAGAAAAATGCTAGTGTTAGATGGAGTTCACTATTAAAGCGGTTACCGAACTTTGTTTAGTGTAACTACAGTTACGCTCACATGGTCACTAGGAATAGAGAATATTCGTAGGTTACTAGCATTCAATCATAGGTGTCTTAAAAGCATTTCTCGTATATCCTGGGACAACCGAGTAAGAAATGCAGTCGTTAGGAAACGAGTACTAGGTAAGGATGGAAAATCAATTGATGAAGTAGTGGATGTTCACCAGTTGGGGTGGTTGGGACAATTGTCACGTATGTCCAACCACTAACTATCTCGACGCGTATCTTTGTCAATGAAGGGGTAGGCAAGAAGAAAGCCTGAGGTGATCGAACCAGAACATTTCACAAATCCATGAAGTCATTGACAAGCTGGCTGATCCATGTTATTAGGTGTGGAATTTCTAGTTCGGGTCCTTGAGACAACATTAAGCGTTGGTTAGGGACTTTGATTGACATGGGTTAAAATCTTTTGCAATGTCTTCTTTTGATTTTTAATCTTCTGAATTCCTCTTTTATTCTTATTTCACTGGTATATAATTCTCGAATCACATCCTCGATCCCCAATCTTTTCGAGTGATGTTAATATAGCTACCACCTATACTACTTTGGGATCTGAATCGACAATTCGATCTCTATACTAATGTGGTATGGCGACTTGAACTGATGTACATGCGTACCACGTTCTACGTTTTAGCTGACTGACTGGCTAAGGAGCTAGACCGTCGGTTATCAAATTGTAGTTTCTACATCGTATTCCTCTACCCGTTATATTGACTTTACTTAGCGATCAGTTAACTACTACTATAAATGGGGGAAATACAGAATTATTACAAAGTTCAAGCTACAAATCATATTGAACGAATTTCACGTTGAGTTAATACAAAGAATATTGCTCTGAATCAACATCATGCTGAAATAAAATCAGTGTTATGCTAAAAAATATCACCGTGAAAGTAAAACGACTATTACGTTGACCAGTCATTACATTAAAAACGGCAGTAATGCTGAATAAAACTTACTATGAGTTAAGACAGTTTCGCATTTTTATCTTATTATTCTAAGCACAGTTTTTTCTCACCTTTCTAGAAATCCGTTTGGTGGTTTGAATTCAGTTACGTGAATTTGTACTTGGTTAGCAAATTATTTTAATAGTCACCTAACACCTCATCTGTGGCGGACCTCCTGTCACTGTATTACTGATACACAACAATAAAGTTACTATAATTGGTCCCCGACTTTTCTCCAAGACTTCCATAGTTTATTAAATGTGACTAATATCTAAAGATATGAATTAAGTGACATGTTATTTTATCATTTCTTCCAGTTAATTGGGCTTAATTCTAAAGGCATAAAGCGGACGTTGAAATTTGGTGTGAAACATGGTTGGTTAAATGTTATCAACACGAGTTTCAGAGATGCCTGCGCCATACTTCTAGGTAAAAGCGAGGATGATGTAGATGATGATGACTTGCTTGAAATACTTCAAAAGACAAATTGTCCAGTTGATCCACATCATCGCTATCCATGTATGGTAAACTTAGTATCACTTAAGACACAATTTAGCATGGAGTCATGGATATCCGAATGTGGTCAAGGTGAAAATTCTTTTGGATTCAAGAAATGTAAAAAAGAAGAATATGATATTGACTCTGATGATGCAATAGATGAGGACTTTGAAGCTGTTGATTATCAAATGGAACTATCCACAACAAAACTTGGAATTCCTGATGACAGTATTAACGAGTTAAAATTGGAAGATCGCCAATCTGCTCCCATCTTGTGTAATACTCAGATATATATGAATACTTCTTGTCTCCCACCACCTAGCAAATCTCAGTGTCTTGTCTACGCTAAAAGATTACTTGCATGTAAGTGGTTCCCAATATTATCTTTATTTCATCTAACCATTTTACAGCACTTCACTAATCCAGAAATTATGTTGTAGAAAGAACCCTGCTATAGTATACTGTTATGTCTTAACACCAACCAATACACAGAGATGACCTTATAGAAAACAACGTACAACAAGGATGAGAAAGACTAATACACTGTGCTTGACGATTGACCAAATACCAACCAACCTCGAACGCAGATCTAGAACACAAGACTCATGATCACCAGCTGAAGATGATTATTATACTTCAGAAATTCATTTATATACATGCAAAACTAGAAAGCATCTCAATAGTGACTAGAGGAGACTGAATAATAAACTGGCAACAAAATACAGATAGTAAATCTTTTGATAATACTTTATGGGTTGATAGAAAGCTTTTGATAAAAGAAATATATAAACTTAATCATCTAGCTCCTTAATAATTGTACAACAAGACTGTATAAAACAATAATGCATAAATTAGTTCTTTCAGTTACTATTACTTTTATTTTCGTACGCATATAACATATACAACCTGTTTTAGCGATAATAATAATTAAATTGGGGGGAAATAAGGGCACTTGAAGTCATTCTTAGTCATATGAGAGATCGATATACAGCTTTGTGAAATCATTCTCCAATAGTGTTTATTAATTTTCTACTCATCGAAATCCATTCTTTTTTATCCGCAAAACTGCTTTTATCAAATTCGACTCACCCGTACATACCTTCGTGGTCGTTGATTCATATTCTTCTAGATTGTAACTATTTTTCTATAAACTAAGAACATTCGATTTACGACCTACTAGTAAATTTTATCTAGTTTGCTAACCATGAACAAGTAATTTTTATAATTGAGTCAAGTTTTATTTACGAAAAGTTGTACTTAATAATTAATCAACATTGAAGGTCAAATTACACAGGTTTATTGTGCAAATGGTGTTGTAGGTTCAGACTATACTACATCGTGGACAGTTGATCGATGTCCTCAGTTCTCGTCATCTTTATTCGGGTCACAGTCTAAAATTTGGTACGAAACATTGAAACCTTTCTTACTGTAGTATTGTGCAAAATCAAAAATTATTGCAAAAGATGACTTGCACAAAACATACAGATTTACCAATATGGTTTTTGGTGTACATAATTTTCTTTTGTTTCTTAGCAGACTTTATCATTTATTTCTTCATTTTCTCCACAAGTTATTCCTTCACTCAATATTGATGAATCCATAACAATTCAGATAGTTCGTATCCTAGTTTTGCGTGAATACACAATGGGTGGACTATTGGCGATAACGAAAACAAGTTTGAACAATATACGTCGTACTCTGAAAAGTTTGGTTACTATTGGCGCGTTAAAAACAGTGAAACGGTCTATGGATTCCACTTTTGTTCTGTAGTATGTTGTTTATTTGTATGTATGTGTACTTTTATTTGGGCATATTAATGATATTTAGTTTGTATTTCCATAAATGTAAGTTAGATGTGGAAGGGAAACAGACACACTATTTATTTTTCCAGTTGTACAATAGGCATTAATATGTAGATATCAACTACCATCAACTCAAATTCCATCCTGATACGCGAAAGTGTGATTTAATGTATTAAACTACTTAATATAAATCAGTAGGCAAAAGTCAAAAAGATCATTTTTGGTGACTGTTGTTCTTATCTCTTAACTAATAAAGTTACAAGCCAGTATGTTAACTTTTAGAGCTAAAATTTATGCATACTCACTTTGCATCTGTATGTATTCAGATTTAAATTCTATGAGGGCAAATGCCAATGATTGTTTATGTATTCTTGTTACTTTTCGGGATCGATAATTTTAATATAATGCTGTTTACATACACCGTATTGATATTATTTTCAATTTAGTTTAATAAATGGGTTAGGATTTCAATTTTAACTGTTAAACCTTAGTTTATAACCCTGATTTATCTACTGAGACTTAAAACAACCAGATAATTTCATTAATTTCCATATACAAACATGCAACATAAATTCACATATAGTAGTTAAATTGTACTTGATTATTTCTCACTGTATCACCTCCACGAACTGTATTAGTTTGTAGATAGACTTTTATTTATTCATTTTTCACTCAATTCAACAGTTGTAGCTCATATGGATACGTTTTATGCTGTTGAGGTCTCTATGCGATTGTAAAACTTTTATTGTTTTTCTGGACGATATCATCAGCGCTTACTTTACGTCAAGATGGGCTTTCCCATTATTCAGAACAACAATGATAGCTTCGAAAATAAATTGTTTTGGTTCAGAGAACTTAAAAAAAATTTACTGAAAAGAACCCTTTGCGTTTTCGATTTGTTTTCTCAGAATTTCGATTTGTTTTTCTTTCTCTTTAAACTTCTGTTTAATAGCTATAGTCTGTTCACTGATACTGATAGAATAGAAGCTCGGAAGGATAAATTAATCAAATCTACACCAGATTCACAAATATTACCTACTGTTCGTAAGTTTTGCTATTTTAACATAACATTATTCCCTTACTTTTCTATAGAACGAAAGGAAGCTATTAATTTCGATCATTAGCATCTCTGTAAATGTATGGGAATCTGTTAAGTAGCGTAAACCATTGACTAGGATATCTGTAACTATGATTTGGAACACTGGATCAGAAAACTACCTTTTCCATTTAAGTTATGATTAAAGTATTATTCATTTCTACCCTATAACTACATTAGAAGGTAAACTTGCTCATTTTAGTAACATTTTGATTTATCATTTTGTTTAACAATGAGTTGAATGTCAGTCAGTCATTTACAACGTAGAACTTCGTACGTAAGTACATCAATTCATGTTGCTATACCACATTAGCACAGAGACGCAATTTTCTATTAAAACCCCATAGTGGTAGAGATAGTAGAAGAATTACTGCTAATGGAGAAGATTAGGGAGCGAATATATGATTCGAGAAGTATAATTCAGTGAGATGAATTTAGAAGGAGAAAGATAGAGATTATGAGGAATTCGCAAGGTTAGAATTAAAAAGCACACAAAGAGTGGATGCACCTGAGCCATTGCAAACGATTCTGAGCCATTTCGTTCAAGGTCTCTAACCGTCGGTGACTTTCGTCTCGCGGACCCCAACCAGGTAGCATACATCTACCAACATGACTCAGTCCACTTGTCAATGACTTCATGGATTTCCGCCATGTTTTGGTTTGGCCGCCTCTTACTTTTTTCCAACCTACTCCTACACTGCAAAACATAGCTCGTCGAGGCAGTCGGTGGTTGTGCATTCGTAACACATGTCCCAACCACCTCAACTGTTGAAGTTTCACTACTTCATCTATTGATCTGCCATCCTTACCTACTACTCGTTTCCTAACGACAGCATTGCTTACTCGGTTGTCTCAGGATAAACGAGGAATGCTTTGAAGACATCTGTGATTGAATACTAGTAACCGACGAATATCTTCTACTCTTGCCGGCCATGTTTCGGATCCATATAGGAGAACGGAGTGAAGTGCTGCTCAGTACACTCTTCCTTTGGTTAGCAAACGGATATCTCACCTACATCATAAATGATGCAAGTTGGCAAAAGTCAATCGAGCTTTCTGTATCCGTGCTAAGATTTCGTCAGTCACCGACCATCAGCACTGATGAGACTCCCTAGATAAGTGAAGTAGTCAACATGCTCAACTGCTTCACTCCCTATCACTAGTTCAGGTGCCGATGCAACCCAATCTTGGAGCAACATTTTGCATTTCGAGGGTGAGAACCGCATCCCAAACATGCTTGCATTGTTGCTTAAGGTGGTCAAAAGACTCTGCATTTTGTCAGCATCTTCACCGAATAGAACTATGTCATCGGCGTATTCTAAGTCAATAAGCGAGCCACCTGGTAAAAGGTCTACTGAAAATTCAGACAAGGATAAGGTTATTTCTAGAAGCATGTCTATTATAAAATTAAACAAGAATGGAGAGAGTGGACATCCCTGACGGACACCACATGAAGTAGAGAATTCCGATGACAGTTCGCCATAGGCTGTCACCCGACCAGTGGTTTTCGAGTACAGAGCTCGTATAAGGTTAGTGTGAAGATGTGGTCTATACAACTACGTCCAGGTCGAAAACCAGCCTGGTTTTCTCGAGTCTGCTTTTCACGAGCTCTAGTTAGGCGTCTAAGTATAATGGAGGCTAACAATTTGGAGACTATATTGTTAGACATATTCCCTTGTGATTGTCACAAGAGGACTTTTTTCCTTTCTTATAAATTGGGACAATCAGGGATTGAGACCAGTCGGATGGGATTGTGTCCAGTTCCCAGATTCTACCTAAGATTTCAATCAATCTAGCTGCTGAAGCTGGACCACCATCGTTAAACATCTCAGGAGTAAGTCTATCAGAACCTGCTGCTCTACCTCTACCTGGATTGAGAATGAATGATACAGCCATACTTTTCTGCGATAGTTTCGCTAAAAGATGGATTTCTAATACCGGTTTCCTTTATAAGGCGGTAAAGTTATCTACTGTTGCTTATTGCCACTGCCTTTTCCATCGCTTTGCTTCCGCCACCTATCACTGTTCGCGGTCATTGCGTAGGCTTTTTATCAACCTGCGCTTAAGCTGACTTCGCTCGTCGTCATGTTCAGAGTCAGGAGGGATGAGTTTTCGAGCATCCATCAGTCCAGTAAGTGCTACTGAGATCCACGGCTTCTCCCTAGCCTTATGGTTTACCTTACTAGCAGATATCGCTGCTCTTTTCTCAGCTTTTTTGATATCATTCAAAGCTGTCTACGGATGGAGATCACTTACACGGTTGCCTAACTGTTTTTGTAGTTGCTTCTGAAATATATTCTTTTCTTTGTTATCATTAAGTAGAATCTAGGCATGTGCCCCAGAACGAGCGACAGTCCTCTATCGAGCCCCTCTGTCGGTGGCTGATAGCGATGTGACCCAATTGGGTCCATTGTTGGTTCGGCTTCGAGGGTCGCCCGGTCATAAGGTGTTTAACTTTATGCCTAAAGTTAGTGCTTGCTAGAAATAGCTGGTTATATGAGCTCAGACGGTCACCATTATCTGTTCTCTGAGCCGCGACACCATAACATCCACCCATGTGTCGTTCCTTTTCACTTAGTCTACCTACTTGAGCGATAAATCCACCAGCCATTATTACTATATCAGATTGCCTAACACTTTGGAGGAGGTCCGAAAGCTTTCTGCAGTATTCGTCTTTGACATTGTCTGAACTGCAGTCATTGGGGGCGTAGGCAGATCCGACGAAGAGGCAACGGCGGGTGTCCCTATCTTTTCGAGTCCTTACTGTCCCGTTTAGTCGGACAGAGCTTAAGTGACTATCTACTGGGATCGTCTAAGAGAGCTAGTTCAGCCCTACGACTCAATGCTATAACTACACCAGCGAGACCTCTGGACTCTGCATCAGGACTTCCAGATACACGAAGAGTAAATCGAGTTGCTCCTTTATCTTGAATTGTTGAGGTCAAGTGAATGATGCTACTCGGATCCTGTATGCGCGTTTCCGAGACACAGCATACATCAGTGGCACGAGATTCTAAAGTCCTATCTAAGGAAGCCTGTTGCCCTATTTGATACAATGTCCATATATTAAATGCTCCAACATGTAGTTTAGAATGGGGTTTTAGGAGACCAGGTATAATGTTTCGTGAACTAGAATCCTTGCATCAGCGGTACGGGGTGATAAGGGAATGTGAGCAGAGTTAGTCTTGGAGATAAGAGAGATGTAAGGGAGTATAGGAAAGATTTGTTTGTAACCAATTTGGTCTGCTGTGCTGCTACGGGTATGAGGGCGGTTGTCACTTCCCAGCTCCCCATACCGTGGAAGGGTGTTTCTTGAGAAACCTGAAAATGAAGGTAGATTAGTGTTGGTCTTAGAGACCTGGGAGCGTGACATCAGAGCCCAGGGGACAAATGCTTGAGGCCGGTCACGCACAGCCTTTTTATGAGAGGTTTTTATAGTACTAGCTCCGTTCTTTTTAAAAGCCCTTACTGGGCAGCCATTATCGTCGGAGACGGAAATCCGTGAGTTATTATGAATGACAGTAACGTTTTAATAGACTATGATTTGGAATTTCATGATGTTTACTTGGAAGATTACATTTTATCTAAAAGTTAATGTGTATTTGAAAGACCAAAAGCCAATAGACTTCACCTCAAAAATCGTTCTGTTTTATTAATTATATGAAATGTCAATTTTTCTATCATGTTGTTGCTATGAACAAGCTAGATTACATTTCCCCCCTTATCTAAGTAACCTTAGTTTGTTCATTTAACTCTCTTCAGAAACACAACGACAGAACCGCCGAACATTCGTCCTCAATTATTTGTCAAAATATCGGATAATTGCTTCTGAGTACTCATTACGTCAGTTGATATGGGATCATGAACGTTCGATTGGTTTAAAAATTCGTATGGATCGCAAATCATTACGTAGAATTCTGGATGAATTGATTCAATCGAAACTGGCTACTATAATCAAGACGAAATCACTGAAAGGAGACGTAAGTTCGTCGTTTTATATTGTAAATCAATTTAAAATTGTATGCATTACGTTTCTTTGTTTTAAAGTGGAATAATTTAGCATACTTTTCGCGTAAACAATGCTCTCTATTTAATTTTATTTGAAATACTCTAGTATTTTTCCAATCAGGTTTCCCGTTCATCAATGATGCGACAGCATGATTTACCAACAAGCTTAAACTTGAAAAGTTGGAAAATTATTGATTCAGACTAAATGATCAACCGAAATATTAAAAAACCTACTATAGTAACACATTTGTGAGCATCATTTTAGATTTTAGTAGAATCTAATAGACCACGGGAAATCATAAAAAAGGACGGCAAGTTTGTTATTTTCTATTCTAAAAGTTTGTTAACCTGAAACACCTTGATCCATTATAGTTCAGGTAACATTTCCTTACATTTTCTATAACGAATAGATCTTAATACTACTATTTCAGTGATTTAAACTTTAATTACGTATCACATTATTTTCTTGTGTTTTGTACAAAACATTCATGCAAATATTTTCATTGTGCTTTATTTAAACCTCACTTTGTTCAACATATCTTTCTTTGTAAATAGAAATAGAGATAACTGAAACATATATGATCATAGTTTATGACGGTTGATTGAATATACTAAACGATCCGGGATATGTTAACACAATTTCCCTTCTTATTTCTAAGTTGATGAGTAGGAAACTGGAATATGCGTTTTCTACGTGTTTGAAAACTCATTATTTATCCTTTTTAAAGCATTCTTCGTCTGCCTTTTTTATGTGTCAAACTATCACTAATTTTGCTTATGTTTAATCATTTCTTTAGTTTGTATACTTTAAGGTATGGTACTTAATTGTTATTATAAGTTATTTATTCTATCATTTTTGTACTCTAAAATTAGTGATTTGATCCGTTATTTTACTTTTTAATAGTTATTCATTCCTCTTTTTGAATAACACCCTATTCATTTCGTTATTTCTATTCTAAATTATTAACTGTTTGTATAGAAAATTTCTCTGATTGTAAGATTTCACTGCTTTTTTGACTAGAGATGAAGTCAACAGATTGCTAGTTGTACAGTAATTGGCAGAATAACTTTATTTTTCTGTATTAAAATCATTACTGTTTGTTCCTTTCTTTTTGACGCTTATAATTTATCACTTTATATCTTGTAATAGCACCAATAATATTATTAATCATAAACATTATTCTTTCTTAATAGGTTACTTTTATTTGTCATCCAGATGTTAAAGAAGATGATCCATTAGTACTAACGGCTATTAAAAATATGGATTTAGCAGCTCTTCGTAATTTGCCTATACAAGATGAGAAATCTTTATCTGTCATATTCAGTGCTGATCAAGTTTCCATGATTGAAGGTGTTGATCATTTATCATCTGAGGTATGCAATTGGTAATAGTCCCACCATATTGAATTACGTACTATTTTAATTGATATTTATGCTACCTGAGTTGCTATAGTCTCGTTCAATAAACTTTCTAGTAGTAGAACTCATCTCTCATTGCCTGTTTCATAGCATTGTGCTCTTTTTTTTTTACATCCTTTTCATAATTACTTTTTTAAAATAATTTAATTTGTTATATTCCAGATATTGAGGTTTCTAAGCGAATTGTTTCTATACTGATAAATTTGCTAATTTTAAATGTGAATCATAGTACAAGTGTAGTGAACGAGAACACAGGTAAGGAAACCGGATTGTATTTAACGAAAATTACAGAGTTACTCAGTAAAATCGCAAAACCATATCGTTAATTTGCAAAATACCAGTTCATCATATCGAACTGGTCTGTTCCTGTTGCAAAACATCAATCCATTGTCACTATTCATGCGTTTCATACAAATTCCATTGTTTTCTAACTCTTCCTTTCTTGATCTTCCCCCATCTTCTGCTGCCAGACATTACGTTGACACTCACGTCATATACTACTTATAAGTAGCTCGCACCACACAAGGATCGATTATTTGGAAAAAGAATGAATGCCTAGTGATTTAGGTATACATTCGCTTTATGAAACCAATTACTTACTTAAGCCTGTTACCTCTAATAGAGTATAGACCGCTGACCAGCATTCTGCAACCTACTCTGTCCTGGGCCTTCCTTTCCCATTTTACCTAATCGCAATCCACTCTTTTCATGTCTGCTTCCAATTCTCGACATAATGTGTTCTTTGGCCTTGGGGATTCCAAATAAGGTCTTGTCTTGTGACGCAATATATAAAACCACTTTTAAAGAATAAAATGTATTGAGATAATAGCTATTTAAATTCCCCAAATGTTTTATACTTCACTTACTACTCTTAGTATCTGTGACGTATTCAATCGATTGTTGTTAGTTATCAGCAGTTTTCAACCTTAAAGTTCAAATTGAAACTGCTCATATCACGTAATAATAATGAAAATGATCTTCAAGATTATTATTACGGATTGATTTGATTCTGACTACTTAATCTGTCTCAAACAAAAAGCGAGGATAAAAATGATTATAAAGTTCCAAATAAATTTATAGTTTACTCATCATCTTTTGGGAAAATCTTTTTTGTCGGTTAAAATAAATGCTGAGTCTGTTGTAAATATACTATTAAAAAATGTATCAATTAAAAAATATGAATAAGCTTTAAATTAGGGCAAATGATCTGATGTTATGCACGAAATGAATAAGTTTAGTTTTTATCTATTAACTCACTTATCTATTAATTGGGCATAAGCCACACTCTATGTGTGACGGCTATTCAGTAGTTCAAACTGAAGTGGAACTAGTTTAAATCCAGACCTTAGTGCTGAAAGTAAAAGTCCTTAACTATTAAACCACTGTTGCACTCTACACTTCTACCCCAAGTAAGATTACTCAATCTCCAAATTTATATCCAATCATTGTCATGTTTCGCCAATGTTTTACTGGATACGATGTTCAAAATGTTCATTACCAGCTTTTATCGTATATTTCTAACTTTTCAATAGATTTTTTAAATAACATAAGTACAAGCATTGTTAGTTCAGTAAAGATGGTTTTAAAACGCAATTTATGTCGTTTTTATTTGTGTACAACCTAATTTAGTTTTTCTTTTACGTCAAAATAAGTAATATCCTACAAATTCACTTTTTCAAACGATTGATTATTCCCAGAATTTCAGAGTTTTAATTTTAAAACAAGTTAACTAATGATTTACATGTCTACACAAAACATTTAATATTTAAATCTTTTATTTTGTTTGCTTTTATCTTCAGGCTATGACTATTGTGTTGCATAAAGTGCCAGTAGTGCCGAAAATGCGTCGACGTTCACTCATTCATGAGTATTTATTTTATGTAATATATGATCTGTCTAATAAACAGCACCCTGTCAAAATTCAGGTAAATTATTGTATTTGATAATCTGTAAATGCTTCAAGTTACCAAGCCTGCGAACTACTTAACATAGTACTATTCATCCTTTTGTTTATTCTTTTCTATTTACAAACTGTGCGTTTGATGTGTACCCTATATTCGAATTCGATTTGATATGTTAAACCTTTCATCTGTGGTTGTAGTATGTATCACAGCCCTTAAATCATATATTCACATTTAATATGTTGTTTGGCCTTGGGTAGTCGTCTTAGCTCTCGCCAAATCTGTCATTGCGTAGTAATTAAGATTGAATGTGACTGTTCAGTTTTCTCTCTTCAACGATGTGCTTGGAAAATATAGGAGTGGGCAAATCAAATCGTGACGTCAATCCAGAAAGACATTGCCAGTTTAAGCTCCTTCAGTTGCTACAATCTTCTCGGTTGTGACTCCTGTGATTATCACCATCAGTGGTTAAATTTAATTGTAATTGAAAACCTTTCATTTTTTTATCGCATTTGTTGATTTTAAAATATATTCCCCATGTTTAGTTTTACATGCAATATTATTCCCCTCTATATGCTAGGCAGTATTTTATTGGCTTTTCATTCTGTTCAGGTGATGTGTAACAAATTGGAGATGAACACATTTTTACTCTCAGTTCTAGATCTGCTATGACTGACTGACTGACTGAATTAGGATGAATTTCATTTATTTTGTGTGTCATTGACAACTAGTTAGTATACTCTGTCTGAATTCAATAAGTATATCTCACTTTCCTTTCAAAATATACGCCTGACACATTCTCTAGTAGTTGTTAGTCAAGATTAAAATTCTTTATAATTTACAAGTTTAGCAGATCAAGAAAATAGTTTGGTGTTTCGGTCATTGCAAGGATTTATCGATTCTATCTTTGAATTATATACTACTTTTATCATCTATTACCAAGCCGATGGAATTAAGAACACATTTAGAACCCAGATGTTCTGGTGAGTATAGGCATTTTAATGTGCCCAGTTATTAATTCAATGCAAATCAAAACTGTAATAATAGTTAATGCTTGTTAAACTACCCTCGTAGATAATAGGTCCTTAATTTGTCTTTTTTTAAAGTACGTTAATCAATTCAATTCGATTTACTATTCATGAATATTTTTGTGTGTCTGTTTGGTTTCAGAACCATCCACTACTAAATATTATCCATGAATAATATCATTTTTCATCTTGAATTCATTCAATTTATGTATACTGTTTCTTGCTTTGTAGACTGAACATGAACCTCCAGTCTATTTGGATGATGATACTTGGCGTCGATATGTAGCTCCTTTAGATCCACTAAAAGGTAAAAATCGTAATTTACTGAGATAACTTTTAGTGATTGTGACACCAAAATGACTGATACGATAAGTAATTATTAATCATTTAAGTATCTGATTGTATAAAGGAGATAAATCGAAGGAAAAAAAATACTTATTCATATGTAGTCACTTTGTTATGACGAAGGTATTGTTTAATAAAATGGTGAAATGATTATCGATTCATATTCACTTGAATTGGTGATTATAGGTGAAGATAAAAGTTGTCCAGTCATCAAATAAAGTTTAGTTTCGAGTCGCTGTAATTTAAAAGTTCATCTCTTCTAACATCTACCCACCATTGTTCACTTTTAGTTCTTAAGTGAATGATATATTTTAATGTTTTTATAGTAGTTTGTGAAAATTTTTAACTTGTGATTAAGTTTGTCACATTCCATACAACGTATCTTTTCTTATACATAGATATGAATAAGGGTTGGTTTCTAATTGGTGAAGTTTTACGTGGTATACCATTTGGCTTATACTTAAAACTTACAATTACCACATCATTACCACGTATATTATGTCGATGGCTTAAATTGGATCATTTGTTAACCGATTTAACAAAAGAAGAAATTGAACACTTGGATTCAGAATTAACCCGTTTTCAGCATACCAACATGTTACATCAAAAAGATATACCACCTAAAGAATTGTTACGATATCCGTTAAGATATGTTGAATTACCTGGTGGATCGAGAGGTCCCCTTAATGATTGGTTATTATCTGCTAAAAAACTCAGATCAATATGTTCAGTGATTGAAGATCTGTCCGGTGTTGCTGGTCTAATTTCTATGCAAAAGAAAAATACTTCACAAGCTAAAACAAGTGTAAGTTTTTAACAGTTTTGTTGTCTTGGATAGAAAAGTATATTTAGTTGTATAAAATTTTTTCCACTGATAAATTCATCTAAAGCAATAACAATTAACTTTAGCAAAATAACACGGTTTAAATTATTTTTGTTGTTAGCGTTTGTATAGCATGTTGGTTTTCTACGGGATAGGGTCGCTAACCCTATTCCCAACTCTCCTATATTTGAGCTTGAGATCGACAGTAACCCTAGAAGGGCCCCAGGCGGAAGATACCATTAAAATCATCATATTTCGCGGTTTTTTATCAGCTGCCTACAACCTCTAAACATAATAGTACTTATCATTCAAAACCAAACTGCATACTTTGTATCATAATGAATGTCAATATTTATAGGTTAAATACATGAGTTTACTACAATAAAAAACTAACAGGATAGAAACAAGATCATTTAAAATTAGCATAATGTTGTCGTTATGTAATCCCTGAAACATAAAATAAAATAAATTGAATAACTGAGAATTCATATTCGACCTATAAATATTCACATTATTTAACATATAAATATTTATTCTGGTTCTTTTATATTTATTGCTTTTTTCGTCAATCTTCACTGATAAAAGCTTTCTCAATATTATGATACAAAGTATGCAATTTCGTTTTAAATTATTAGTACTATTATCTTTAGAGGTGGTTGTAGGCAGCTGATGAAAAACTGTGAAACATGATGAATTCATGTTATTTTGCTAGGTTATTGCTTTAGACAAATAAATCTAATTACATTTTAGAATATGCTAATCAAAAAGTTTCATTCTTTTATAGATGCTTGGTTTTCTGCATCGTCAAGCAAGTTTACTAGATACTCGTTCTGCTCTGCCAGCCTATCAGATTTTGACTAGTTTGTCGAATACCAATGTGATACACTTTGATTTTCAATCTTCTGTAGATGTTGCTAGTTATTGGTTGACAAGTGAAGCGATTGCACGCAGTTCTCCTCTTGGTAAATATTTAATTATAATGATAAGTAAACAATTTACATATGTGTATTGCATTACTTCCATCCTTTTTTGTACTTTTTTTTTACTTTGATGTAATGCGCATAAATTTAACTATAAGTAACTTCAGTTACAACTTTCAGTTTTATTCGCTAGCTCCGTTCGAAACCCGCAATTGAAGGTTAAGTGGTTTTTTTTAATTTCTTTATTTATCCCCCTCTTGTTTACAACTCACTTCTGTACTGTTTAGTTTTATAATTTAATGATACACAGTAGTAATGTTATACATTTTAAGTTATGTGTAGAATGTGAAAGTTTTTTTGTAAATGCAGTGTGTAAGTGATGTATCTGATCGTAGATTCACAGTTCTATGTCGTTTTATATCTTTTTGAATGTTAGTTATGTCCAACAACCCTTCGTCCTAGTATGTTATATGTTGGTTTGAAGTAGGAGTGGATTCATATGAGACTCACTAATTTTTGTTATCAATTAACCGGCGTACTTAACTGTAGGCTCTAGTTCTTAAATCCACTTCAAAGCACAGATCCTCGGTTGAGATACAGTTATCCCACTCACTTCTACTGTACCTTTAAATATTGATTTACTTATTGACTTTTATCTACATATCATTTTACTCTTATGTTATTTTATTTCGGGCTATTTCTTCCTGTGCGATTCGTTTCAAAACGATCTTTTGTTAAGTCAGCAATGGTCTGTGGTATGTTTCAGTTCATTATTCGGTTTATTTCTCTCTCAAACATTTTTCGAGTCCTCTTAAATAAGAACATACATGCTTTTATTTATCCTGCAGTTTTATCGGTTATGAAACTTAGTCATGTGTTTCCTGTCGACCACTTACAACTCGTTACTGTTTTTATCATTAACTCTTATAATTTCATAATGATATAATATCAATATATACATCTGTTCATTGTAAAAGTTAGTGATTGTTTATTATTTACTATCAACTACTTGTCCGATTCTGGAATTCATGGAGTTAACTAGAACATAGTCGAAGACAAATGGACAAATAAACAATCTTCATTGTTAAATCATTTCTCCTGTGAACGTTTAAACATAGTGTTACATTGTTAATTACTTCTTAATGTAATTTTTTTTTAATGTACATTGGTTTTTTTCTAGCATATATTCATCTTTTTCTTTGCTTCAGGTCATAATTCAGTCAAGGATGAAATAGATTTAGAACATGTGCCACCAATAGTACCAAAAGTTTCTTCTGAGCCGGTAGACGATGGCTCTTTGAATTTTCCGCAGTGGCCGGAAGATATTATGTCTAAGTTTAGAACTATTTTAGCTGATGGCACAGAAGTATACCCGTGTGGTGCCTGTGGATATCATCCATCTGACTGTACTTATAATATACGGAATTGGGGTGCCACGCGTCACAATAAATCTAGGCGCAAAGGAGATGTTGACGGAATTTTAAATCTTTTGGATGAATTAACTGGCTTGGATGATGCCTATGGATTTGTTACTCCAAGTGATGAACTTTTCTGGCGTTGGCTTCCCAGCTTATTTGCTGGTAAGTTTAGTAATTTTTGATCACTTTTTATGATTTTATCCATTCTTATGTTGGGGATAGTGGTGATGTGATTCACTCTACTCTTTCTGCCCTTCATATATTGTATTGTGAACATAATCACCTCGAAATTAAAACGAAAACAGAGAGCAGGGAATGATGAAAGCAACAATTACAACAATAGGTTAGTCTGGTCTGTCAAATCTACCATGATCCAAGCACAAGTTTATTTTATGTTTTAATGTTCGTGTTAGATACTATTGAAATTAGTTGAACCTACAGGGGAAAGTGTTAGTGTAAAGTATCTGCAAGTGAGAAGGTTTGATTAGTAGGCTCAGTAACGAGATGATTACAATGGTGATGATTACAATACTTCTAGCTTAAATCTATCATTTATGCAAACTCTACTAAGAGTAAACGCGCACTCTTCTAGAATCGGTGAGGGAAGAATCAATAGACTACTTTTAGCTCACCTGCGTTTTTAAGAGGCTTATTTGCAGACAGGCAGTAATACGTTTTCCAGGAAGTAAATAGTGAGAAAGTTCGTCACCAACAATTTTTCATTATCCTAGAGGCAACTGGAGTAATATTTATAGACCAATAATGGTTAATGTCAGACTTATTTTCTGAATTGTAGCGTCGTGTAGTTTATGAGGTTTCTCAACAATCAGGGTAAGTACCAGTCTCCAGAAAGAAAGAGGAAGTAAAAGTCAGAAGTAGTGGTCTATTAGATCCGCCATATTTGAAGAGAATGGGTGGTGTTCCGTCTGCTCCGTAACTGTTCGAGACCTTGATTTAATAGCTCTACTTCTGGATAAGTGAAAGAAATGGGATTTCTTGAGTTATCAGTCGCATAAATGACTTTTGAACTAGTGATGGCTACAAACGTACTGTTGTTCGCAAAAATACTGCTGCAAAGGTTTGCAATGGTTTTAGAATCGTTTATAAATGTGTCATTATCCAGGATACACAAAATATCTTCACTTTAAAATGCTCTAAGATGTTACTTTTGGTTTTTTATTAAGTGCTATCAGCTCCCCATTAATGGCTTTTAAATTATGCCTTTCCTTAATTTGGTTAAAAATGATGGTTATTTGTAAAGTGGTTGTAAAATAATTTGACTTAAAATAGCCTTTATTCTGGCGTCTTAATTTATTACAATATTTAACTGGTATAAAAAATTTCTTTTGGCCTACTAGTTTGATGTGTTTTAAGAGGTGCACAGTAACCTAAGCACGAGCTAGTGATCTGATAGTATTGTGTCTATGGCTTCCACCAGACTTCCTTGAGAAGAAGGTATCCCAGTCAGAGGATCTTATCATGGTATGCAGAAGGTATCAGTTAGCATGTTTGTAATCTCTATGTTGGGTGGTTTCTTCCAATTTCCTTTCTTCATCATCGACTAAAATAGAATACTAAAATGGTTTGTATATTGGCCAATAATTTCTTTAGCATTCATAAATATCATTCTAATTAGATTGGAATGTAGAGAGTGAGCTAGCTATATGATATGAAAAATACCGATAACAATATTTGTATCTCTTAGTTATTTAAGCTACATTAATTCCTGTCTGGTGGGCTTTGATTAATTAATTAATTAGTTATGAAGAAACTTTCACTTATATTTTCATGAAGCATTTTCCTGTGTTCACATTTATAAGTTTTCTATTGTTTTCTACAGATCTCAATGTACCTTCTGTTTTACAACCTGTGGATACACCACTGCTGATAACTAGACAGTCGAATAGTGGTCCTTCTTCAAGGAATACTCGTTTTCGTTTCTCTGAGAAAGATATGAATAAGAAGAATGATGTACAAGAAGGTATTCGTTTATCTCGTGGTTATAAACAAAGAACTGAAGCTCGCGATACTGACAGCATCTTAAAAGATATATGTCAGCAAAATGCTCTGGATGCATCAGGAAATATTGGGAGTATAAGTCAAAATTTATCAGAACGGTTATCATCATCTGAGAATAAAGAAAATGTAATCAATGGATTTCCTTCACAAGTGTCATCTAATTTCACTCCTCGTCAAACAAGTATGTGGAAGCCAATCATTTTAGTGTTCATTTAGTATTCGTTAAATTCTCATTTTTTTTTAACCTTGCATTCCCTCTTGTAAACAGATTTTAAACTTATTTATTTATTCAAACATAAACATTGATACGAATAGGGTAACAAAATATCTTAGCGCTACATAAATTAATAAATTTGTGAGTGGGCTGAGATACTGCCCGGACTCCCAAACCGGAGCAGGCGGTCTGCTTGGAAAGTCCCACCCTGAACCTTTGATCTGTTGGACTTACAAGTACTTTTAAAAGATAATTATCTGTACTTATGCAAGCAGTTGCAAAGTTGCAGCGGAGCACCACGGTATTTGTAGTTCGCAGTAATTAATTTCAATAACTCATTCAGCAACAATGTAGGACTTGGTACATACATACATCAGTTTAAGTTG